TGTGCAGCTTTGCCCTAGGCAAGGCAGCATCGCAGCCCTCAGCGAATCTGCCGCTCCAGGCAAACGCCTTGTTTGCCTCGCAGCAGATACGCCCCTGGATATGGGTGTACCCTGTAAATGTTTATTAGTTGAACAAAGATGCCATACAAATAGTAAACAAAAGATATAAGGCCCTGTTCACACCAGGGCGTTTCGTCGCATGTTTTTTCCCGCTCTAAAACACATGCAAATCAAAATCTCATGTATTCCCATGGAGGCCTTTCATGCAAATGCGTGAATCCTGCATAACAATACGCCCGTTGTTTAAAATAGTCCATGACCTTCTTTTGCGGCGCTTATCAGCTTGTTTTGCTATAGAGACTTCAATGGAAAACACGCCGATCAGAGCATTTTTACAGGGGGGGGTTTAACGTTTTTTCAGCTAAGACTGCATTTCAATGGACAACTGAAAATGAGCCTTAAAATGCTCTCGCACATGAACAGAAAACGCCTGTAAAATGTGCTGAGACACGCATAAAAAACGCGCTTAAAAAGAAGGGCTAAAATGCTGTTGCCCTGGTGTGAACGGGGACTAAAAGTGTCAAATTAAGCAGACTGATTATAATTTCTCTAAACTAGAAATAAAAATGACAAATTTGAACAGTTTGTGTCTAAGAACTGGACATCCAGAAACAAAGCACAGGCCAATGGAAGCTATTTACACATCATTCCTGTTACTGAATAGACTTGTGCTGAGTTCTCTTTGAATCGATAACTATAACCTTCATTTTAAAATGTCTCTGCCTGTATTGAAATGTACAGGAAGCGAGCTATGGAACAGCAGATGATTAAATGTGATCATCAGAATCTATTTTAGTGTGAACTGTGGATATTTCCAGTTTCATAAATTACATTTCTGTCAAACACATCATTCAGTCTGTACTCATCTAAGCCTGACTTGTCTGCTGGAAAGAAGATGTGGATCCAAACCTCGTTTGATTCTGCTGTCTCGTGCCAGACATCCATGAGGCTGCACGCTGGTCACAAAGATTGGCAGCTCCCCGCTTTTACTCCCTCGGCCCCCCGCTACGGTCATGCCTAATGACTCCATTGGGGCTTTCTTTACAGTAATGTGTTTTTCATGGCAGGTAACACACTGGGCAAGATCCTAAAGGTGAAAAAAAGATAGCAAAGTATAAGAAAGAATAATTTATTGAAATGACAGGTTAGCATACGCAAGAGTGATGTCAGAGAGCTATAATTAACTGGTGCATAGTAGTGATCTGTCCCTGATTTCCAGGCAAACTCTCTATTTACTCTCTAGGGATTTATCTAGATATACACCATATTCCCAAAAGTATTGGGATGCCTGCCTTTACACACACATGAACTTTAATGGCATCCCAGGCTTAGTCTATAGGGTTCAATATTGAGTTGGCCCACCCTTTGCAGCTATAACAGCTTCAACTCTTCTGGGAAGGCTGTCCACAGGGTTTAGGAGTGTGTCTATTGGAATGTTTGACCATTCTTCCAGAAGAGCATTTGTGAGGTCAGGTACTGATGTTGGACGAGAAGGCCGGGCTCGCAGTTTCCGCTCTAATTTATCCCAATGGTGTTCTATCGGGTTGAGGTCAGGACTCTCTGCAGACCAGTCAAGTTCCTCCACCCCAAACTCGCTCATCCATGTCTTTATGGACCTTGCTTTGTGCACTGGTGCGCAGTCATGTTGGAACAGGAAAGGGGCATCCCCAAACTACTGAGAGCGACCCATTCTTTCACAAATGTTTGTAGAAGCATCTGCATGCCTAGGTGCTCGATTTGATATACCTGTGGCCATGGAGATGATTGGAACACCTGAATCTAATGATTTGGAGGGGTGTCCCAATTCTTTTGACAATATAGTGTATCTACCATTCGGTTTACTTCACAAAAAACTTTCGTTTCTTTTGGGAATTTGAATAAAACCTATCAGTAGCCTAATGCTTCTAAAGCAATACTATGAAAAAAATGCAATGCGTCATATGCCTTGCAGAGCATCCTAGGAGCCCTGAAACTTGGTTTTGGAGCTCAAAATGGTCCGCACTGTGTCTTACTATAGGTATGTGAGACTAGTAGTACAGCAGTACCTTAGATCTGGATAGGGACTTAAATTGGGTTGCAGACATATCTGGGATGGGTTACCACTTGACTTGGTGTCCAAGAGTGAAATCAGCACACTTAAAGGGGTTCTAAACCCTCCATTTTTGTTTGCCTATATCTACTGCTAGCAAGCAGTAGATATATGCAAAAGTTTTTTAAAAAAAACAAAACGCTTTAACAGCGGTTTAAACTTACCCTGTTTTCGGCGCGCGCTCCCGCCCGAGAATCCGAAACTGCTCCGGCGGCCGCAAAGCATCTTGGGGCGGGCGCATGCGCAGTTTGGATTTTCGGCCGGGAGACGAGCAGAGACGCAAGGTATGTCTATAGACGCGTGCACCCGCATGCAGACACCGCGGGATCGGAATGCCAGCAAGGACAGAGGAGTCAGAGCTGGATCGGAGAGCCGCCGCACAGCTGGAGGGACAGATGAAAACATCAGGAAAGAAGAAGAAGATCGGATTAAGAGACATAATTTAAGGTAAGTGCTAACATTAACATTGGGGGGAGGGAAAACATTTTTTGACTTTAATGTCACTTTAAATGACAGCACAGACAAATACAAGGTGAGGGTTGGAGGAAAATTGCCCAGACAAACGTGTGGGTGGAAGAGGTGAGAAGACTTGGAAAAGAAAATACAACTAAGATTTTATTTCGCTCTGTTGTTCCACAGGGGACGTTCTTATAGCATTCTCTGCATTAAGGTAAAAAACGCCCAGTACCTTTCTATGACACCCGACCCCTCCCACACTACCCTGCGGTCAGTCGTCTCCTCTGCAGGGACCAGGAAGATAGTCGGCTTTCCATGAACTTTCTGGTCCTAGGACAGGGTACTGAGGGCAGAGGAGCCATAGGCTCATTCTGTCGTCAGTCAAAGTGTGACACTGGGAGTGGGGGGCGTGGCTTGTCGCAAGCCGTTTGTGTCCATGGACGCACACAGCTAGCTGTGTGAATGCGCACGCATTGGGTGTCTCCTCAGCAGCTGGCTTGCTGATGGTGACACTTGCGGCTAGCGGTTTTGGGACAGCAAGAGAACAAGGGAACTAATATGTTTAACCTCTTGCCGTCCGCCCGTAGTAAAAAAACGGACGGACGGCACTGCAGCATCTGCGGGTTGCCGTCTCCAGACGGCAATTTTTTTCTGCTCGCGCGCGCCCCCTAGCGGGCACGCACGGGCAGAAAAGACCCGAAAAAAGATACAAAATCCATTTCAATCAAGTCCGGCCCTCTTAACAAAAATAAAAAAATGAAGGTTTAATATCACTTTAACAAGTTAAAAAGGCAATTTTTAACTAAACAACAACAGCATGAAAACAAACCCAAGGAACTTGTCAGGGATACCGGCACAGGTGACCCCACACCTGCGCAGGTACCCACACAGGCAGACCAAACACGTGTGACCACACGGACCAGGCAAGTATGTGATATATTTATAGGTTGTTTAATATACACAGCAGACTAACAGCAACAACCAACAACAGGGCTCACAGGTAACAAGGTTCAAACAGGGTTCAGGACGCACAGCTAACAAGGTTCAAACAGGGTTCAGGAATCACAGGTAACAAGGTTCAAAAAGGGTTCAGGACTCACCGGAAACAATCAGGGTTCAAGGTTCAGGACTCACAGGAAACAATACTGAGCCATCATCCTGACTGCAGGGAGGGTTTAAATATCCTCCCAGGAAGCACCAGGTGATGGCTAAGTACTGGCAACTGGGAAACACCAGCCGGTGAGCACTGGAGCTGCAGGTCCCAGCACCACCCAGTGGTGATCTGGTACCTAGCAGTTCCTGGATGCCAAGAGAATCCTGCAGGTGAGCCCAGGAACTGCAGGGCTCAGCTCCAGCGCCACCTGGAGGCGCTCTGGATCCTAACAGAACTATTCAATGGCAAGGCGGAAAGCTTCAAAACTAACCATGGAAAGGTTAGTCATTGCAATGATGAGGCTGGGCATGGTGCGAGCTCAGTTTGCCTGACTCAATGTAGGTCATCTATCACATAACTGACCGATATGTCCCCTTTCTTTGACTGTGGGTGCTGAAGTAACAGGAGGATAGCGCCGCCAGAAGCAACATAAAAGGAAAAAGTCACCAGCACACATTCAGATATCAAACACCTTTAGATGTCTTCGAACAAACATATCACAAGTAAAAGTGCAACATTTTGGGGCCACACAGGGTCTCATCAGGCCTGATGAAGGGACCCTGTGTGGCCCTGAAACATTGCACTTTTACTTGTGATATGTATGTCAATAAAGATGTTTGATTGCTGAAGAAGAAGGTGTGCTGGTGGCTTTCTCCTTTGACACTGGCGGAACTACCAGGGTCGCAGCGGTCGCAATTGCGACCGGGCCCTGGCGTTCGGCCACTTGGGGGGGGCCCAGCGAGGAAGAAGAGGGCCCCCCCTCCAGAGAGTTGCCGCTACATCCCTGCACAGCCACCCATAGCATGTACGGGCAGCTGTGCGGCAGGGATGCATTGCCGTCCGCACGAGACCAGCACAGTTCCTTGCGGCCTTGGCTCACCTGGTTCCGGGCGCAGCGTGAAGCATCATCCAGCCGGGCAGCAGCCAATGAGTGGGAGCGGTGTAATCCCCGCCCCCTCATCACACAGAACTGCTGCCCAGTGCCGACTAGAGCTGCCGTGGACACGAAGGGGGAGACAGGGAGCTGGAAGTATGAAGGTGACATGGCATCCGGGAGCGGAAAGCTGGGGACATGAAGGGGGAGATAATGGGGAGCTGGGGACATGAAAGAGAAGAGTGTTTTTTTTTCCCCATGTCTAAATTTTGTTTAAAAAAAAAAGAAAATCTAATTTGTTTCTTCTTTGGGGGGGGGGCCTTTCATGGATTCTTGCATCGGGGCCCTGGGGTCACTAGTTACGCCACTGTCCTTTGACCGCCACCCTCTCCTTCCGATCCAAACGTGGGGGAGTTCACACCAAGGCTCATCACTACCAGCTAGCCTCATATCACCAGTTTAGGCAACTTTCTGCAGTGGTTCTCGTGTGCTCTCCTTGCCCCCCCACCATGATATATTATGAATAAACAGCTGCATTTACATAAGTTCCATCCCACTACTAATAACCATATCAATCTAGAAGTATAAACGTACTTATTGAAGATGCTCATAGGATGTACTTCCTCAATGCACGGACACAATTTCACTCAGCGTCTGAACAATGTAACATTATCATTGCTTGCTGGAAGCGATGCATAATGGGATATGTAGTCTTGAGAAATGGAGATTGCATCACATCAAGCAGCAGGGAAAGAGACAGCACTCACTACATAAAAGGGATTTTTTTCAAGTAAGCTTTGATGGCACGATCAAAAACAACTCTACTATGTATCTCTATTACAGTGCTGATGTTATAACTGGATACTATATGCTGGAACTTTACAACTCCTTTAATTACTGCTTTGTGACCATTGTTATTTGTCTTTGTATGAGGTGATTTCAGACTGCAGTTATACAGCTATGAGGCTCCAAGCGCTGTCAGTGCACTGCTAATTTTTTTAGAACTAATTCAGGGCAACGGGTATATTCTTCAGGGCACTGCCTAAGCACACATAGCATTTCTAGATGTTCCCAATAACATAACAAGTAAATCTTTGAGTTCAGGTCCACTTTAAAGATGATCTGAGTAAAATGTCAGGAAGCACTCACCCTGTGTGCAGAGGGCCTGTGATGGTAGACGGGCTGCATATGGTGGTGAGGTTGTCCGTTGCTTATTTCACGGGACAAATTAGGAGAAGGATGCTTTGCGGGACGCGATACTGTCAGATGGACTCGTTCCCCACTACCCTTTGGGAAAGCAGAAAACACAAGATGATGCCATCCGGAACCAAACCCAGGACGTTTCATAAATGTACGATTTTTTTATGTAAGAATGATAACCAACTGCCTGAAGACACAATTACTCCTTTACAGAGAAATACTCCAATTTATTGGCCTACTGGAAATATAAATCACAAATCCTCTGCAGCACTCTGTCACACAACGCTCAATAAATCCCATCTTTTTCGAAATTAAATGGCGTGTAAAAGTGTTGTAATTAAGTGAAGCTAATATGAGGAAAAGAGCATTTACAGGTCACTAAGAACCTGTAAAATGTTACACTTAATAAATGGCAGAAAATCTTTTATTGAAATATGTAAAATGAAGAACTCTATGACTAATAAAGACATAAAGCTATCTAACTGTGCAGAAATATCTAAAATCTATTATGAAATGCTTTTTCCTGCATATAAGAGGAGGGCGCTCCACATGTAGCTCTTCACAATAAGGAAGGACTCCAGATTTAACAAATAATACAGTTTAGATTTATATATACACTGTAAACATGTTCAGATATATTTTATCATGAATTTTATGTCCCTGCTGAAAAATAAAGTCACTTTCCATATATGTAAATCTGCAGTTTTCATTAAAATAATACCTGTTAATCCTGCCATGAAAGTCCTTGTTCAGGCACTTCCTATTAGAGATGACAACGCTCTGTCCCTGTCACCTAATCATGCTTCTACGTTGTCACCCTGTCATATGAGCTTCCGACAGAGACCATTAACAAGCATGACCAAGTATTATCCACCTGCCCTGATAAACATCATGCAGTCATCCCTGTAATGCATGTACACAGAAAGTGGCTGCAAAGAGGCAGTAGGAGAAGAGCAGTACTGAGGTACAGCACAGGATGAACAAAAAGGGAAAACTTTACGATTGAGCTCCAGTAGGGGCCAAAATGTGCCTGAGGGAGGACATGGTTGGAGTGTTTCTGTCACTACGGACAGAATAAAGCTTTTGTATGCAAGGGATCAGCGGCGGCGGGTTCACTACTTTGCAGACTACTTTGTGTAGGGAAGTAAAAGAACCCGGTTACTGGAACCTGTGGTTACAGGGAGAGAGGTACAGGACCTCAGAACATTTTCAAGGATATGTGAGGGTTTACATCTCCTTTAGGGCCCTGCAATGCACCGGAGGTGCATTGGAGTGCCATTAAAGTGCCCCCGCACTGCAAGGGTTAAGTGCTCATATTTGCCTAGGGTCCAAAATAAAAAAAGGTATACTCACCCGATCACCGAGCTGGCCAGCTGTGACAGTGCTTCTTCCTGCCTGTCCCCTCCTCCTCTGCAGTGATGGTATATCCCTTGGCATTCTTACGTCCTAGATACTGTGTATATACTGTGATGACTCAGGGACATTAGACCACTGCAGTGGAGGGGGAGAGAGGCTCCTGGGGCTCCAGGGAGCAAGCTGGCTTAGAGGATCGGGGGAAAATAACTTTTTTATATTTACCCTAGGCAAAAACGAGCACTTAACCCTTGTAGTGCGGGGGTAGCCCCACTGCAAGGGTTAACATTTTTATTCAGAGTTCTTCTTTAATGCTTCTACCACAAACACCCATACAAAGACACACCCACTTTGGGGCAAATGTGTGGGAAAAGTTTGTTATCTAAACCTGGCTGTATATTTTTCAAATTTTTGGGGAGTCCTGATGGCTCAAAATTCAAGCAGGTTGTGCCGGAGCCTCTCCGTTCAACGGAAGTCACATTTTCAATCAACTTTTTCCAAGGGGGAGTGACAAAAACTGTCGCTGAGCAGTGACTGGAGCCAGTCAGCTGCAGGGGCCAGGTAACAATAGCCCGGACTGAGGAGATTCATCCATCCATGCAGTATAACGTGTGAAGAGAAAACAAATGTTTTTTCTGGTTCAGCCTGTGTTCATGGTCAGCTTAACCAGTATGCTTTGGTGAGGAAGCAAACCTGGGAATAATATATACAATACATATCATTTAAATCTAGTGCCTGCGGGAACTGATTCCAGGACCCCAGTGCTATTCACTCAGCCATGGTGCTGAACCATACAGAAACAAACGATGTAGCCTCAAATAAATGCTTTAAAATGACTTCTCCATTTATATTCCACAAACAAATACTTCCAATTATCTTCACCGGAGAAATGGTATTTGGAGGATGATTGGTCGGTAATTATAATTGAGACAAACACTTTAAAAAACGGGGCTTGGAATAAGCGTATCTGTAAAACCACAGAACTGTCATTTTAACAATCATTTCAGTTTAGCGCAGATCCTCTTCATGAGGCATGACAACAGCTTGTTCTGGCACACTGGCTCAATGCTGGCATGCTTTTTAAAAACAATTCACATGAACATGTAGCCAGATTTGATGATTTAATGGGTCCATCTGTCATGAAGAATTATTTCTGTGTTATTTAATCGAGCATCTGAACCCATGTTTTATGCATTAAAGGGAAATACGTTCTATAAATTAAATGGTAATTGCTGTTTTCTACAAATATTCAGCAATCTACAATGAAACTGCTGCCATGATAATTCAGCAAGCAAGTGCAGTAAAGTAGAGAAACACATCAGATTTCCTATAGAATCCAGCTCTTATTGTAATGAGTTACTCTACTTTGTTCTGTACTTTACTGAATAAGCCTGAAAAGTGAGGATTAAAGGGGTTCAGTTACAAAAAATGTGCCCGGCGTATAGCTGGGTGGATGCCATTTGCATGGTCCTGGCACCCATAGATGGTGCTGATGAGTATGGGAAACTTTTATACATGTAGCCCCATAATGCAGCCATAGTTTGCCAACATCAGGCCTTTAAAAAGTTGAAACTTACAAAGGATTATGCACACATCCATAAAATAGGGTATACACTGGGGTGGGCAACTGTAGCCCTCCAGCTGTGCTTTAACTACAAAACCCAACATGCTTCTGCGAGTCATGCCTGTAACTGTCAGTCTTGCAATGCCTCATGGGACTTGCAGCTCCACAACAGCTGGAGGGCCAGAGTTTCCCACCCTCAGTATACAAAGTTATATTTTTTTCAATCAACCTGCAGGTTGATATTAAAAAAATGACAGATTCCTCCATCCACGCTGAACATTGTGGATGGAGGAATCTTCTGCTCTGTGCTTTGTATTGTGATAGTGACGCCTGCTGACTGACTGCGAGCACCGTTCAGCCGAGGATTTTCCAACATGTTCCTTCAGCAAAAGTTACCCAAATGATTGACTTCTGTCGAGGGGATAGGGTCACCAATGGAGCGAAAATTAGCCAACGCCTGCTAAATCAGTTGAAATTCACTCCATTTCTGCTCAGCTTTACTCACTGTTATTTAGCTAAGTAATTTTCTGTTGGTGGATTGGGGCACTGGGGGAGGGTAGGGAATGCAGGTACAGCTTGTATATGGTTCCTCCTATGCAGTGAAGCTTCCTTAAGTATGTATTCCAATAAACTAGGGGTGCACCGATACTGATACTAGTATCGGTATCTGCGCCGATACTGAGTATTTGATGAGTAAATGCTCCGATACCTTTCCTGATACTAGAACTTCTGGTCAGAGGGAGATTTCCTCTGACCGGCAGTGCAGTGAGAAAAGATGGAGCCAGGAAGCTGGCTCCTTGCTGGTTGGCTGGCTCGATGCTAATTGGCCGGGAAGCCGGCTTCCCAGCCAATCCGTGTCGAGTCGGGCAAACAAATCTAATAATATAGTGACACGACCTCCACCCTGCAGGCACCTAATTCCCCTCACAAAGATCCTAAGCATTCTTTAACGTACCAGTCCCTCATGTGTGCACAGCGCTCACGTGATAGGGACTAAGCCTGCTACTGCGCATGCACAGGATTTCTGATTAAGCGCTGGGCAGTCTGTGCATGCGCAGTAGCAGTCTGAGTTTCCGATCTCGTGGCCGCTGCACACAGGAGACCTGGGGAGATCTTGGAGAGCGGTGTCTGCCCACTTGCAGAGCGCTAGCCGAGGGACTGGTACGTTAATGAGTGTGGCTATGAATGTGTGAGGGGAATTAGGTGCCGGGTCGTGTCACCATGTTGTCAGATCTGTTTGGCCGGCCTCAATGCCGATTGGCTGGGAAGCCGGCTTCCCGACCAATCAGCATCCAGCCGGCCAAACAGAATGGAGTCGGCTTCCTGGGCAATCAAGAAGCCTTCCTGCTCTATGGTATCGACGAGTACCGAAATATAAGTATCGGTACTCGATACCGAAAAAACGTTATCGGTGCATCCCTACAATAAACTAACAACAAGTTACTTTGTATTGATTTCCGAGTAGAATGAGGAGGGAACCTAATAAAGGTTCTTGATGAACCGGACAAAATTTGCACAGTTGGTGCCACTGTGGGCACCTTTTCGACCGGCATCCCTCGATCAGCTGATAGAAAGAGCCAATTGGAATATCTTCAAATGAACAGAGCCAGCAGCCAATGAGCTGCTGGCTCTGTTAGGGTATTCTGACAATGAAGGCAGCTGAAGATTCCTTGATCGAGGAATCTGTAATATTTTCTTCACTCAGCCCGCAGGTTGAACAAAGAAAATATATCACAGTGTATGGCCAGCTTAAAATTGCTCCAGAATCTGGAGCAGCTGTTTACAGTAACCAATCAGCTTCTCTCTACAGCTTGTTTAGTTAAGCTTCGAAAATGAAAGCTAAAAGCTGATTGGTTACTATGCTCCAGATTTAGCTCTAGCTGCTCCAGATTCTGTCTGCTCCAGTCTTAGTAAATTCCCTTCTGAGACTTTTAATGGTGGATGATTTAAAGCAGTGGTCCCCCAACCCCCGGTCCGCGGATCAAATGGTACCGGGCCGCACAGTCTCAGTGCGGTCCGGTCCTGCAATATGGGGCAGTGCAGGGTCCCGAAATATGCGCAAACCAAATCACTAACATCATATATAAACTTTAACAGCTCTTTCACACTTTGCCATTTTCTACAAAGTTTCCTTACCCTTTTACCTCCACTCCCAACCCCCTTAAGCTGGTCTAGCCCACACCCCCCACAAATCGATTTGCTTACCTAGACCTCACTCTGAGACGCATTGTTTACATCCCACTGCCAGCTTCTTGACTTAACATCCACGCCTATGCAGTTCATGCCCCATAGACATCTATGGGGCAGGTAGACATCTCGGCTCCTATCCATCTATCAGCCTGACAGAAGCTTGTAAGGGCTAAACTGTGAAGGAGTAAATGTATAAAATCAAGAAGCCAGTGGAGAGATGCAAACAAGTCTTACAGTGAGATCCAAGTAAGAATAGCAGTTTTGCAAGAGAGGGTGGGCTAGACATACTTAGGGAGGTGGGGGAAAAAGTATATGGAAACTTTGTAGGAAAATGGCTTTACCCTTTAATCCCGTGGACAAACTAATATGGAATTTAGTAGCCGGTCTGTGCAATCTAGAAGCCAGCAGATTTTTGTTTAGGAACTAGCTTCATGGACAAGTAGAGAAAACCTCAAAGATTAGGTGACAGCTGCCAATTTTAGGGAGCAGCTCCTGGGATTTGTCAAGTGGTGTCCAGCACTTTAACATGCGCTGTGCTAAGGCAGCACATTTTAAAAATCTTGCAGTTGTTTATGATAGGAAGTGCTATAGAGTCTACTATGATGAACAGCAGTTTAGAGGTCAGTGGCACTAACATTTCACCTTCACTCATAAGATTTAAAACCATTCAATGCAGTTGCCTGTTTGTGACCTGACATTGCAGCGATTTGATGTTTTAATTACCTGAATAATCTGAGCAGCAAGTTCTGGGGTGCCATGTTTTAGGTCAAGCCCATTGATTGCCAGAACGCGGTCATTGCTGTGAAGTCTCCCGTCCTGTGCAGCGAGTCCACCTTCCAGGAGATCCAGAATAAAAACTCCAGACTCGTCAGTTCTGCGGACAAGCTTGATGCCAAGCTGCTCATTGGTTCCTCTTTTATTCAGAGTGACATGGAAGCTTTCTTCCCTTTGTAAGCTGTTGTCCAAGTGGCTGACGAGTCTGCTTCCAAATCGCCTTTCCCGCAGCACAGTGAGATGCAGCACAGTGCACGGCTGAGACAAGACCACCCTGGCATAGTTGTGTGATACATTACTAATATCAAAATTATTCACCTACAAAAGTATAAAATATAATTTATCATTCAGCATAGAAAACACGCTGCAAAAATAATACATTTTATTGCAGTAAAAACAAATAAAACTGGATAATTATGGGTTTGATCATAGAAAAGATATATGCGATGCTGTATAGTCTGGAGCTTTGGTACTGTGTATATGACTAGAAGGGTAATAAGGAACATAACATTTTCTTTTTTTTTCTGATAGCAGAGAACCTGTAAATAAGAAAATTATAGTTGAAAACTTTTATGTTGCGTTATATCACGCAACATAAAAGTTTTCAACTAATTTTAAACCTAAAAACAAAAATGTAGTATAATGCAGTTTACCAATATTTAGATCTAATGGCTGCATTCGTTTTATTTTTTGTTTATTTCCCATTGTTTTCACCTGGTGATCCAGAAGCAACACACTTCCTGTCTTAGGGTGGATCTACTCTACGGAGAAGCAAAAGAGCTACCCTTGTACAGCAGCATTGTCACTCTTTGGGGAGGGTAGTGTTAGATGGACTTGGCTAACAAATTAAAAGCCAAACTCCAGCTAACACTTTTTAATTAGTTACAGCTTGTTTGTTTTTTTTCTTTTGTAATGCAGGTTTTGCATAAATACATAAAAGCTGACCATTGTCAGCCACCCTGTCAGTTTTCAATGGTTTGTCCCAACCCTCTATCTACCACTTTTGCTGGACAGCTTGGCCTGGTAAAGGGTGCTGAAAAATAACAGATTTTTTGGCTGGAACACAGGTAAAAATAAAGGAACAAAAGCTAAAACAAAAGAAAACTAATGCAGGAACCACATTTAAAAAACAGCAACTGCCAGAATTTGATTCTCCAAGGTCTCAGCTTTCAGAAAGCATAAAATGTTGGGGGGGGGGGAGGGGGCTTACATAATCTTCAGATCTAAAATGTGCATTTTAACACAAGTGCTAGAAATGCTCAATAACCCAACAAGTTGCAGTTTCTGTAGGACAGTCAAGATTACCAATGATCATACTTATAGGGCTTCAGTAAAACATGTGACTAACTGCTCCTTGACCTGACTAGAACATTAAAGTAAATGTAATTCACTAATATTTCATATACAGTTTCCAAAGTTGTTTTGCTTTTCAATGTTTTATTATTGATCAGCTATATTATTGATGAGTTTTCAAGAGACTCTGTAACTTTGCCCATTTAGTCTCTTTAAAATCTATTTTGTTGTTACAATCTCTCAGTACATTTAAGCACTCCTCCCAGATTTCTCCATTTTGATAATTTCAGTCTAAATACCATTAAAAATGTAGGCTTAGCAGGTTCAAATATAATTAAACTGGGGATGCAGATTAAGAAGAACATCAGTCGGATTAAATGTTTCAATGCTGGTATATAAAAATGTTAAGATGCCGGTTTGTGGGAATCCATAGCATCAGCAATAAAAAATATTGACATATACCAATCAATACCATTTACAGAGACCGTGACTTTATTTAGTTTTGTGAGCCCCAGTGATGTGGCACGGTGCCCCAATTAAATGTCAACAGAGCATGTAGGTTGCGTTTTGTTTTTTAAATAAACGGTGATTGTGAATATCCTAGCAACCAATCAGAAATCATCTTTCTATAGTATATAGTGGTCAGCACACTGTAAGATGTTTCTGACTGCTTCTCTGTGGATTACACACTGCACACTGCTCTTTTACTTTGATTAAATAAAGGCCATTGTGTTCTCTATTGTATCAGCTGGGAAGGGATTAAAGGTAATAATTCAAAGGCTTACTTGAAGGATTTGGTCACCAGCCAACAACCTTCCATCTCTGGCAATGATTCCGTCCCGATATATTTCCTGGATGACAATGTTTATTAAAGGAGTCTCGTTCCCCCCAACGATGCTGATTCCCAGCTCGATGTAAGGGTTGGAGCGGTGAATCTCAATGGTAGTAATCTCTCCCTCTGGCAGGCTTGCTGGTGGGTGCATAGCTGTCAAGTACATAAAAAAAAAGTAAAACAATATGAGTGGTATGTTTATGGCTCAGTGCCTTCCTGGATCAATGCACTGCAGGGATCAATACTACATATTTTTGCTACACAGCTGTTTTATTTACTTATTGAAACTACAAAGACATCTCTATAGCTTAATAGCCTCTTTAATATATTATTCTGTACTATATTCCATAAGCCAGGATTCCGGGTCTCATACACGTATGTATGTTTGCAAGCAGGTATGTATTTATATCACCTGTCAGACACAGATACATCTGGGCTATTTTAAAGGTAACCATACATATGAGATAATTAATTACTGATGGCCTTAAATACTGCCGGTCACCACATCTTGGGACAGCAAATAACAGCCTGTTATAAAATCTTTCCCAATTGATATTTTTCCTGAAATAGAACTGGCGGAGGTCAATCTGTGCATGCGCCCCCGACTGAATGATTCGTTCAGGGGGAGATGCAAGCATCAATAATGCAATTAGCGGCAGCAGCGCCGCTGGCTACACATTGTTAATATTTAGATGTCGCCTGTGAGCAATGGTGGCCAATAGGGCTCATGTACGCTGTATGCATGTAAATGTTAGCACAAACATTACATACATATAAGATATGGACAACTTTTTATGCAGGATCAATACAGCTGTGTAAGTGAGGCTTAACGGCCTCATTTGGGATAAAAGTTAAATATAAAGGCATTAAGGGAACAGTATGGCAGGTCGGTTAAGGGTTTAGACAGAGGGAGGGTAACCGGGGGTGTTTTAGTGCAATGGACACATTGCAACATAATAGCAGTTAGGAGACCTGCAGACGTTACACAATGCACCAAAAACCAACACGAACAACCAGCACAGAGAACTAACACTGGGGGTCCCTGGTTCGAATCCTGGTCAGGATGTTATGTGCAAGGAGTTTGCATGTTCTTCCTGTGCTTATGTGGGTTTCCTCCGGGTACTCCGGTTTCCTCCCACACGCTAAAGACATGTTGGAAGGTTAATAGGCTCCTGTCTAAAGTGGCCCTGTATGTGTGTACAATAGAGACTTTAGATTGTGAGCTCCTAGATGGGCAGGGACTGATGTGAATGTGCAGTATGCGAAAGTGCTTCATAAATTGTCGCCGCTATATAAATAGTTCCCTTCGCTTTCTTTCTCAATGACAATGGTCACCAGTAAAAAGAAAGGGGTGAATCTCCCTAATGGGCACACAGACATACAAAAACCTGACTCTAATTCCATCCAAAACAAAAAGGGTTTTCCTAGAGATAGACTTAAACCTGCCTCTTAACACTGAACCCCTAGAACACTGAACCCCTAAACCTAACCAAAACCCAAATTCTAATAAACCCGAATTCTGCTGAATACTAACTTCATTTTGCACCACAAACAAGCAGCACAAATGTTCTGGTGCCCTGAAAACCTGCTTCTGACCTAATGTTAGAGAAATATGAATATTAAAAAGCACAACGGTGAAGAACCCGGGGCAAATTTAGATATTCTATCAGATACCAGCCAAACAGCACCTTGTGCACATTTTCTTGAGCTAGAACATTAGGAGAACATTTAGCTGCGGCCATCCAGATTTTCCCCCATTCAGCCATGTTAAGGATTCACCTAATTAATCCTCCCATTTACGCATGTAAGGAAATTTAGGCACATTTGCCGGGGAGATTAGAGACAGGTACAACATAGATATGAGGCCCTGCTGAGTGCGGATCCTACTAACATCGGCACTCAAAAGGGGTAAGGCGGACACTTGCTTTCTATGTCGGCAAATGTCCTTTGGTTTAAACAGCCCTGCCTGGAAATGATCCCCCAGCCCCCACCCTAGTCCCCACAATACATAAAGTTGGATGCCCACTACCTGCAGATCCGTATCTACCTCATCTGACAGCTGCGGCCTCCTTCAATGTCTGCAGCCTGGCCGGTACAAATCTAGTACCAGGCGGCCCATGCCTGCACACTAACATCCTACAGACTTGAATGGTAATACAAATATGAGTAATACAACACATCTCCCGTGAAATGAGCATGATATAATAGTATTATAGAACATTTACAGGTAGCTATAGAAACAAACACAAATTGCATTGAAAGGTCATGTAGAGTTACAAATGAAAATATACTGAAGTTCTGACCTCTCTGGCTCTCTAATAATGGAGGTAGTAATATAGAAATTTGGAGCATGTCAAAGGGCAAAAGTTTACTAGTCTCAGGTTCAGATGTTATTACCGGCTCCCTCTATCATCTCTATTATATCAGCCTTGGAGTGTAATGGACTGTTGTGTGCACATGCTATTTTTGTTGCAGGGGATGATAATGAAATAGATTTATCAGAGAAGATAGAAATATCTGTGCTGGAAATTAATGGATATAGAATGGATCGGGGGGATGGTCTGCTTCGATTAAACTTCCAGCATTACTCTTGTTTAGCCGGCTGTTGATTAATTTGGTATGGAGGGACAAATTCATCAATAGCAATTTAAGAGTGCTTTTTGGAGCACCATTCTATTACCCATAAATGGGCTAGTATAGCAGTCTTGAAAGCCATCATCAACTGACAACCAACAGTGGGAAGCAAAGGAGAACAACAACAGAGCAAACTTGGTGAATCAGCTGATCAAGTATTTTCATGATTTGACATGATTAAGTTTGCAAAATGTTTTTGTCCATTTCTGGCTTAAGGTTTTATAGGGAACAAAAAGGTCAATATTAACTTCTAAAAACATTGCACCTTAAAGGTGGGTTGTACAAAAAAAAGGGCCTTCAGCCTACTCTTTTAATAAAAAACACCAGGTGGTGTTTAAAGACTAGCCCTCTACTGTAGTGGAAAAGAGTCACTCTGAGCTATAGAGATGAAAGGGATCTACTATGTGCGAATTTCCATCATAATTTAAATTTCCTGACTAAATGTAACCAGGTTTGCCCAGTGTACTATAAATTTAACCATACTGAGCAAATATCACAAAAACACATTTATTTTGCATATTCTAGCAATTAAAAAAAAAATGCAGACTGATCCGGCATTAGAGAAAATCAGTAAGGGCCCTTTCACACCAATTGCGGTGTGTTCCAGAGCGGCAGCTGGTGGAACGCACAGCAATCGCTCACAAAACTTCCCCCTTCGTTCTGGAGCGGCATGTTTTTAATTTGCAGTGGACCGGAACGCAGGCAATGTGTTGCCACGCGTCCAATTGAACTGCAGGCGGGAGGGGGTTGTTGGGGGGTAGCTGCGGTGCCATTGACTTCAATGCACCACCACACCCCCTCCCACCCAAGAACAAAGGGGGAAGTTTTGTGAGGGATTGCTGTGCATTCCAGCAGCTGCCGTTCTGGAATGCACCGCAATTGGTGTGAATGGGCCCTAAGTGCATGAAATAAATGCCTTTCGGGCCCACTCACACCACATCCAGATCATCTCCAGACCAGATTTTTCCGGACCGAAAATGCATCTTAATGTATCCCTATGCTAGTTCTGGCCTCTGTCCAAACTAGCGCAGTCCGTTCCAGACCAGCACTGAAACTGCCGTTAGGTTCACACCATTTTCCGGACCAGATCTACTGATTTCATAAAGATAGTATTCACCCCACCTTAGAATGTTAAACATTTTGTATTGCTACAACCTGAAATTAAAATGTAATTAATTGGAATTTCATAGCACTGATCTACTCAAACTATTATATAAATTTGAAGTGAAAAACATTTGTTATTTTTCCATAATTTACAAATATAATGATTTTTCCTTAATGGCATAAGTGTTTTCTTAGTGATGAGGCTGGGCTTGGTGCGAACCAGATTGCCTGCTCATTACTGTGACCACAACCCCCTCTGCCTGACCCAGTTCCCGAGAGGAGAATTCCATGTCCCACAGCTATACATCACAAAGGAGCGGGGAATGCCACTGATTGGGTCGTAAGGAGGGGCTGGTAGTCACAGATGTGAGCAGGCTTGGGTAAACTGGATTCCCACCAAGCCCAGGCTCATCTCTAGTATTCACACTCTTTGATAAACAAAAATTATATATTTAGCTGAAAGGTGTCCACCTGTGTCACATGATCCTAAATTAAATATATGTGTTTCTGGAAGAAATATAGAAGTTGCTGGTCTCCTTCCGAAAATGTTAGTTGCCTGGCTTTCTCTGGAATTTATACTTCATGAGATGGTTGGACTGATTTACTAAAATATTTGAGAATCTTCACTTCAACTATCCAATCATGTGGAAAGCATCTGCACATACTTGGGTATTCAAAGTGAACAGGAAATTGCTTTTCCCATGACTGGATAATAAAGATGGATCTGGATGCAACTGGATCAACATGAAAGCCATGTAAGTATTTTCAGAATGAAAAGTCAGCAGTGGCAGCCTCCATACTTTCACAACAAATGGTCAACCGCAAATGTGCTTAGAAAAGGTATCCACCAAAGCTCACTAACCAGAAGAGGGCTTTAGTCAGTGGAACAACCAAGAGGCCACTAATTTAACTGAAGATCCGCACAGTTCCACAGCTGAAAAGAGTTAAACTGTCATTGGGTCAAGCTGGGCTTTAGGCCCCGTTCACATATAGCGACATACCTTTTGCAGCGGATCCGCACGGCCGGGATAGCGCGACTTTCGGGGCGACGTTCCAGCGACGATCCAGCGACGGTAGCGCGACCTTCCCCGTCGGGCTCCATAGTAAAAAAGTAAAATCGCGCAAAATCCGCCGAAAAAAGGGTCCGGTAGAAGCGACTTGCGACCGCGACGAGCGACGCGCGACATGGAGTTAAGACAGCTCCATTGAATAACATTGGCCGGCGACTTCTCGCGATATCGCGCGGCAAAAATGCGCGATATCGCGGCGGAAATCGCGCGACAATTCGCTATATGTGAACGGGGCCTTATGGAAGAGTGTCAATAAGAACGCCATTGCTGAAAAAAATGTAGAAAAAAAGATCTCTTGGTCTCTGATGAGACCAAAATGTTCCACATCATGTCAATCAAAATGGA